GCCGGCAGCAGGCCCAGAACGTACAGCACTACCACGCGAGCACGAGGCGCTGGTGCGACGTGGCGTACAAGTGAGTGCGGAGGGAGGCAAGGCTGAACTGGGACCGTAGGGGACAGGGGTGCAGTCGTGAGCCGGTGGACCTGGTTATAGATCTGGTCCTGGAGCCACCTGGCTGAGCTCTCGGGGGTTGTGGTTTCTCCCAGGGTCACCACCCAGGACTGGACAGGTAGGTGCAGACAGCAGCAGATGCTCTGAGGACCTCAGGTCCCGGCTGTGATGCCCAGAGGAGGGGGCAGACAGACTGTCTCATGCACCAGAGATCCTCTCCACCTCCTCCAAGGAATCCCTTCACAATGGCTGGCGCCTTGTCAGGAGGCTGGAGCCTTGTCAGGAGGCTGGAGTGTAAGGCCAGGCTGGGCTTAGTGCTTCCTGAGACCCAGCAGATCCCTCCCCAGCCAGGACAGGTCCTCTCCCCTTCAGCCCCCCTCTCTGTAGTGAACTGGGCTTAGGCCAGATGCACGGGAAGCACTTAGCATATCGAAAGAGCCCAAAACCCATGCCTTATGAACATTAAGCACCTACTGTGTGTCTGTCTTGTGCAGAAGCTGGAGCCAGACTCCCCAGAGGCGCCTTCAGAAGGCTGGCTGGAGGAAAGGACCTGAGAGGATGGCTCTGGGATGGGGGGCTGAGGGAAGCTGCAGGGGGAACAGGGGCAAATGCTTTGAAGCCCAGTGGGCAGATCACACCTGAATGGCAGAATGGCGGGACACTGGAAGGGGCCTGGTGGGCCAGTGAGGACTTTGGTTTTTACTCTGAGAGGGAACCACGGAGGGGAGGGGGAAATTAGATGCATCCAGGCAATAAACACACAGAGCCCGTGACAGAACCATCACGGGCCAGTCCCCACAGCCAGCATCATTAGAGTATTTCTAGTCTCTGTAAAGGCAGATCCTGTGAGCTGGCTTCATAAAGGGCAGATCCAGGAGTTGGATTCAGAAGTTCCAACATTCTGTGTATCCTCAGTGACTCTGTGACCCAGAGAGCTGAGTCCGAAGATAATGCAGTTCCAAGGTGTGACCTTCCAGTGAATTCCCTGGTGCCGGTCAGACTTGCTCAGTCAAGACGTGTTCAATGAGTGAATCTTTAGGATCTGCTGCCAGGATTGGAAACCCCAAAGAAGCAGATGTGATCCCAACCCTTGAGCCCCTGATTCCGAGGGGCAAGTGCCTATAGGGGCAGGACCCTGTGAAAATCATGTGGCTTTCTGAGTCTTTGCTCTTCAGCTTAATGTGGCAAAGACACCTCAGAGGGTGGTCTTGTGAGGGTTCAGCAAAGTAAGGGTTCAACAAATCCAAAAGGCAGGCAGGAAGAACAAGAAATAAGACCATGAGGATGGGCATCCTGGAGACCCGAGCAAAACTCTGGCTCTGCCTGACTGTGACCTTGGACAGGAGTGCCCACTCCCCCAAATCTCTTTATAATGTGGGGTGGCAGTGACCCATGGATTGTATGGGAATTTTAAAAAAAAGGTACACACAGAGCTGTGCTTGGCATGTGGCAGGGGCCACAGTGATTGTTCTTGTGGAAAACTAGAGAATGAGGAGGGGGTACTGGAAATTGAACGTGCTGTGGCAGGAACAGGGTGGGATGAATGAAGGAGGGAAGCCCTTCCTCCTCATCAAGTCTGACCCCCCCACGCAGCTTTCTGATTGGAGAAGATGGGCTCGTATATGAGGGCCGCGGCTGGAACATCAAGGGAGAACACACAGGCCCCACCTGGAACCCCATTTCCATTGGCATCACCTTCATGGGCAACTACATGGGTGAGTCACTGTCCAGAAGGCTGGCATGGGCTCAGGGAATGGGGCAGCAGGTGGAAGGTGGCTGAGAGGTTCTGCCACTTACAAGGTCTGTGACCTCGGGTAAAGGATTCCATTTCCTGAGCCTCATCTACTCCTTGAGTAATGGTGGGAGCCGCAGGGTGGGAAGGAGGAGTAGCTGATCTATACACCCAGTCCAGATGTGGGTGCTGGCTATCAGCATGGGCAGAACACAGAGGAGGGAGAATAAGCAATAATGATTAGGGCAGCCAGTGCTTGCTAAGGCTTCTAGGGATGTTCCTTGGGTTTTCCATAAAGTAGCTGCCATTACTATCTCCTTTCATGAAGGAGCAAACAGGCCAGAGAGGGCCCCATTCACCCTACCTCGTACTATACTACTTCTGTCCTTCAAGGAAGCCCCAGACTAACTTCTGCATCTATCCCTCCAGAGCGGGTGCCCCCACCACGGGCCATCCGGGCAGCCCAGAGTCTGATGGCCTGCGGCGTGGCTATAGGAGCCCTGAGACCTGACTATGAGATCAAAGGACACCGGGATGTGCAGCAGACACTCTCTCCAGGTGACCAGCTCTATGCAATCATCCAGAACTGGCCACACTACCGCGAGTGAGGCCCTGCTTGTCAGCCCCCTGCCCCATGCCTCTCTCCCAAAGAGCTGGGAAAACCCCTGCCTCCTCCTCCTCCTCCTCCAATAAAGATGCAGCTTGAGAGGCTGAGGCAGGAGGATCACAAGTTCAAGACCAGCCTGGGCAACTTAATGAGATCCTGTCTCAAAATAAAATAAAAAGGCCTGGGGATATAGCTCAGTGGGAGAACACCCCTAGGTTCAATCCCCAGTACCTCCACATATATAAATAAATAAACGCAACTCCAACTGTGTTCCTGAACTGCCCCCCCCACATGCCCAGCTCCTCCCTCCCACGAGGTCCCAGCATCACCCTTCCTCCCAGCACTCTGCCCTTGATGGTGCTCAGAACCCAGAGGCCCCGACCCTGAACCAAGACCCCGGAGATCCCAGCTCGGAAGCAACATCACAGCTCAGAACCCAGAGGTCTCAGGTCAGAGCCCAGGAATCAGCACCAAGTAGGTTCAGATGTCACCACCAGCAGCTCAGGGGGCTTCCCAGGCAGTGGACCATGCTGCAAGACACCCCTTCCCCACCACACCACCAAAGACATCCTGTGCAGAACATCCTGCTTGAACTCCTTTGGAGCTGGATGGCTTGCTCCCACTCCTCAGGTCTCCCCTTGCATTGCTTGAGAGAAGGTAGAAGTTCTTCCTGAGCTTGAGCCCCCATCTGCCTCCAGACATGTCCAGAAATACCCACAGATCCCAATTACACACCCCCTCCCCCTTTCTCTTCACTCCACCCCCACCCTTCAGTCATAAGTTGAGGGGTCCCAAGGACAAACAAGTTTATTTACAAAACACACATACCCTATCTCCCAGCATGCACTGCCTGGAGAGTGGGTGGGGTCAGGGCTTCACAAACCTAAGACCTCAGGAGCACCTGGAGGGGTGGAGCCTGGGTGGGGCTGGAAGGCCGCCCCGGCCCTACCCCACACCATACCCACTGGTGAATGGTGGTGGAGGGGCAGTACCACCTCTCCATGGTCATGACCGGGTGTCCAGTCGATTCATGTATTCTTGCAAGGCCTTCAGGCGGGCATCTATTTCAGCCATATCAGCCGCCTGGTGGTCGGAGCTGTACTCTGTGAGAGCAGGCATGGGTATGGGGGGCTATGAAGGGCCTGCAGCCAGAGGGAGCTCAGGGCCCATGCGCTGCCCTCAGTCCCTTCCCTGCAGGATCTGGGGCTGGTGCACTCACCTTTGATGGGGACCCAGCCCCCTGAATTTGCCAGGTGTCTCCGATGATTGCTGTGTTCCTGAGAGGTGCACTTCTGGTGATGGGAAAACAAGAAAGCAACAAAGGGGATCAGGCACCTTCCCTCTGTTCTTGCCCCCACCCCAACCCCAATTCCACTGGAATTTCTAAAACCAAGGACCTCAGGGGAAATAAGGGCTGACACCTACTGGGCACCAAAATATCCTCCTGTGTCATCACAAGGACCCTTTAAGGGAACCATCCTTGATTAAGAAAGTGCAACCCAGAGATAAGTAATGAGTATTTCCGGTCATTCAGGTAGAAAGAGCCAGGTGTGAAGACCTGGCAATTTGGACCTAGATCCTGTGTCCCCCACTATTTCTCTCCAATCCCACAGTGGCAAAACACCCTGTTTTTTGAGGCCTTTCAGAGTCACCTCTGCAACCTGATCCCAAGGAGGGAATCATGGGAAACTGGGACAGCTGGCTGCCAGGAGCTTAATGCTAATCACCTCTCCTACTCCAAGGCCTGGGAGAGACACTCACCATATTGGACGCACTCCACGGTGTAGGGCTGGGTGGTTTCCCACGGCCGCGGCGAAGGCTGAGAGAGGAAGGTAATCAAGGACCAACGTGGAGTCCTTGCTACAGCCCACCTGCTCCGCCTTTGAAGTTTTAAGAACCACCACCCCCCAGCCTCCATCACCCAATTTCCCTGCAAAAGAAGGTTTCCAGTCTCCCCAAACACCCTTTCGAGATGATCCTACCAGGATCCAAGTTTTACCCTCTGGAGAGTGACTCAGAGAAATCTTCGAACTCGCTGCAGGAGCTGGCAGAGGAGCAGCGGCTGCGGAAACTGTCCACTAGAGCGAGAGGCAGGTGTGAGTCCCCTGCAATCGCCAGCCCCGCCCCGCCTGCCCCCAGCTCCAAGCCCGTTACCCGAGGAGCTGCGGTTCCGGGAGCGGTTAGCTGCGTCCCCACGGCCAGTCACGGCAGCTGGGGGCCGGGTCTGACGAGACCATGAGATGGAAGGGCCATCCCCGCTCCCTCCACTACCCAATCGGTTCCGCTGCTGCTGCTGTTGCCTGAAAAAAAAAAAAAAAAAAAACGAAAAGGAGACGCCCCGCTGTGCGCCCAACTAATGCAGGAAGGGCGTCGCTGCGAGAGCCGATGATCCACCAGAGGTAACTTGTCCTGGGAGAGGAAAAAGATGCGGGAACCCAGACCAAGTTGGGGGTGGGGGAGGGAACAAGTAAGCAGTTCAGTAAGGGGTCAGGAGAGGAGGTGGGGTCAGGTGAGAAGTGGGAACGGGGAAGGGGAAGAGGAGACATGCTGCAGGTGACAGGAGACAGAGGCTGATAGGAGGCGGGGACACCAGTGGCAAGAGAGTAAGCACAGGTTAGGGAACCAGTACCGGAGGGGAATAAGGGCAGGGAAGAGAGAATGCGCACTAACTTCATCCTGATCTCTTTCTGCTTCTTCTCCTTTGCTTTCACAAAGGCCGTGGGGTCGAAACGGGTCACACGACCACCTATGACAGTGTGGGCAAGTGGAGAGAGGAGGCTGAATCAGGCTCTCACAACGGTAGTCTGTTCCGCCTCCCCCCAAGGCAGGGCAGGGCAGGGCAGGATGGGTGGAGAGAGACCTGTGGGCGAAGGCGAGGGGCGGGCAGGTCGGCCTCGACCTCGGATCCCATGGCCGCTCTCCCGGGATGAGGAACGGGCGGCGGCGCGGCCACGAGACGTGGAGCGCTCCCGGGACGATGAAGCCCGGCCTTCCCGGGCTGGGGGAGGCACCGCGGGTGAAGACCGCCTCCTGAGAGCACAGGATGCGCTATTAGTTTCCGCAGGCCAAGACAACCCCAGCCTTTCTCTGAATCCCCAGGCCTATCCCCACCAATTCCTGCAAGTTCACGCTGACCCACCGGGCACTCTCCGCCGCGCTCCTTCTCTCCCAACCCCACAGACGCCTGTCACTTCCCTACATAACATTCACGACTCTTTTTCCCAGGCCTCCCACAGACCCCTGAAAACCCTTCCCAATTTTCTTCCACCCACCCCCATAAATGCTGGCACTATCTTCCTGATCCCACAGATGAGCCACACCTGGTCGCTCCGCACAATACCTTGGCCCTTCCCCTCAAGTCCTGCCCATCTCCCCACAGGCTCCGCCCACCATTTCCACTAGTATTACGAATCCCTCCCTAAGCCCCACGTTTAGGACCCTCCTACCCGACAAGCCACGCCCACCTCCAGGCTCCGCCTATCCTCTCCCACCTGCCTCGGACTCCACCCCCTCCCGGCCCCGCCCTCCCCTGGCCGAGGTCCCTCACCCCCTTTTGTACAAGGCCAGCTCGCAGTTCAGCGTCTTCAGCCGGGATCTCAGGCTCCGCTCGGACGCCTTCACCTCCTCCAGCTGCAGGAAGTGGAGGGGAGCGGCGTGGTCCAGGATGAGGCCAGCGTCCGCGCCCTGCGGGCCATACCCGCCGGCCACCCGGCCCCCTCACCTCCTTAGCCAGGCGGCGGCAGTCCTGGCTGCGGCGGCCGGCTCCCCTGTGACCCAGGCCGCGCTCCTGCCGCAGCTCTAGCTCCAGGCCGCGCACCAGCCCGCGCAGCGCCTCTGCCTCCTGGCGCGCCGCCCGCCCGGCCAGCGCCTCCTCACGAGACCGGCCCAGCTGTGCTTCCAGCTCCCGCTTCTCAGATGCCAGGCGAGACACCCTACGGGGAGCAGGTGGCGAGGGCTGAAGGCGCACGGCCCCTCCAATCCTGCTTCTCCACCGGGGCTGGGCATGGCCAAACCTTTCACCTCCCCACCAAGTGGGAACGGGATCCCATCAGTCCCAGCTGCCCCCCGGGTGGAGTGGTTAAGGTGGTTATCTCCGCGGGGGAAGGGACACAGTCACATCACCCTCATTCATCCCATGAGACGGGCACGACCCCATCTCTCACACACACACACCCGTGAGGGGTGGGGGACACGGCGTTTGCGTTCTGATTTTTAAAGATTTCATCCGTCTGGCCATCTCTACACCATGAAAGCCTGGCCCTGAGTCCTTACTCTGGCCTCCAGGACCTTCCCAGCCAGATCTTCCCTCTGTCTCTCACCAGAGGATTTTATGAAATGCAAATCTGACCAGGTCACTACGTGATCAAAATGCCTCTTTGAGGAAATGACATATACATAAGGCTCTTTGATGTGAAAGAGTAGAAATAACCAAAATGCCCATCAACAGAACTAGCTGAATTTCTGTGGTACTTCCAGGCAGAGTGCCAACAACTGTGGAAAGGAATGGATGAGGAGGACCTGTCTTCTGCCCCCAGGTGGTCACCAGGATACATTGTAAATCAGCACAGAAGACTGGGTTCTGCAAGTCCCTTTTTATAAAAGAACGTAATTATAAATTACAGGTATGTTCATATTTTCAGAATAGAATAACTAAAAAGCTTTAAAATGGGGAAGGACTGACTGGAGATGTAGCCGTGATAAAAGTACTTACCTAGCAAGTGTGGGGCCCTGGGTTCAATCCCCAGCACCATAAAAAAAAAGCAGGGGGAGGAGGACTGATTACCCGTGGAAAAAGGAGGAAGAACAGGGATAGAAACTGGACCTCTCTGAATGGAAACCCCTTTTTCACTCTGACTCTAGAACTATGAAAATATTGTATATAAAGAGTTACAAGCTCTGTTACCCAAGCTGGCCTCAAACTCCTGGGTCATTTCAACATGAAGGGTTCCTACTGGCCAAAGACAAGACATTATCTACATCACAAAGAATAAATGCAAGGCTGAGGTTGTGGCTCAGTGGTTGTGGCTCACTTGCCTAGCATGTGTGAGGCATTGGGTTCGATTCTCAGCACCGCATATAAATAAATGAATAAAATAAAGGTCTATCAACATCTAAAAAAACATTTAAAAAAAGAATGAATGCAATTAATGAATCTGTGGCAGGCTAAATAGTGCCCCCCTCCCTGAGGAAAAAGAGATATCCCCGTCCTTTTCCCTGGAATCTGTGACTCTTAGCTGATATGGCAACAAGGCACTTATGGGTCTGATAAATTAAGGATCTTGAGATGAGATTTTCCTGGCTTATCAGGGTGGGCCCTAAATGTAATCCCAAGTATCCCGATTCAGAATCAGAGAAACTAGACACAGAAGAGGAAAGGACAGTGTGACCACAGGCAGAGACTGGAGTGAGGTGGTCATAAGCCAAAGAATGTCAGCAGACACCAGAAGCTGGAAGAGGCAACAGAGTCCCCCAGCGTCTCTGGAGGGAGCCCAGCCCTGCCGATGTCTTGACCTCAGTCCAGTGAAAGTGGTTTCAGAACTCTGGCCTCCAGAACTGGAAGACAACAAATTTCGGTGTTTTAAAGCCACCAATTTTGTGGAACTTTGTCACAGAAGCCATAGGAAACCAACACAAGATCAATTAAGTTGAAGTTCACAGAGTTTATAATGATACAAGAACAAAAGTCACTGATCTCCATGGTGAATGAGAAGGAACCAATACATTATTCTGATGAAAGTTAAATAAAAGAAAGAGTTAAGCATTAATCATGCCTTTCCGGTACAAAATGTACCTGGGGGAAACCAAATGAGAGAATGTTTTTCTTTATTGAAAACCTGAAGCTAACAAAAGCAGAAAGAACTATGGAATTAGATCACCACTTATGATCCTTGTAGTGAAAAATCAATCCAGCCAACAATCATCAATATCTGTCAAAGCTACACATTAACTCAGTTGTTCTCACTCTGCCTGAAAACTAAAATCAATTAGGAAGATAAAACATTCAGATGACCACATTTTTGGCAAAATGTTGAAGTTCCCCTTTGCGATCCAAAAGGCTGGGGCGCCACCTTGTGGCCATTCTGGAAAGTGCATGTGCACACAACCCTACCCAGGAAAGAACTGATCCGTGAAGCTTCTCCTGCTTCCCACCCTGGCCTCCCCACTGTGGCTTTCCTCCCTCCCCATCCAGCTGTGCACGGCCACATGTCTCCCAGCCCCATAAGTTCCCATTCCTGGCAAAAGAGAGGACCAATCTGCTCTGTGAGCACTTGGCGCTCAGTCCTGGGCTAGCAGCTGTCAACAGGGCACACCAGCAGGGAGGAGGGGCTTGGCACTGGCTGCCTGGGTCTGAGGTCTAGCTTGGCTGTATCACTCACTGAGTGACCTGGGGAAAGTCTCCTAACTTCTCTGGGACTCTATAAAATGAGGACGACAGCAGTGCCCACCTGTCTACCTCATAGGGCAGCTTTGAGAATAAAATTAATTCCCCACAAAGCATTGAACAGGGTCCCTGGCACGCAGGTAAATGCTCACTAAACATAGTCTCTGGTACTATTATTATTATTATTACATCATGTTTCCACCAGCACCAGGACTGCACGCGCTGTTCCCTTTGTCTAGAACACTCTTGCCCAACTCCTCCTAACCCGCCCCAAAGCCGGTCAGGCCCTGTCCCTCCCCTCTTCACCCCATCTCTGCTTAGGGAGACAGCCTGGGTGGCCATGTGATTAGCATTCACTTGCGCTGGGCTGGGCACCACATGAGGGGCAGGGAGGGGCCAGAGACACCTGCTGAAGGTGGACTTAAGTGACTCTCGGCCTGCCTGCACACCTGCCGCTTCCTCTGCCAACAGGGAGGACGAGGACCCCCTCAGGACCAGCCCCACCTACTCTGAGCCTTCAGTGTCCACAGACATTTCTGTCTCCCTCACTGGCTGGAAGTCCAAGAGGGAAAGGCCAGATTGTCGTGGTCACCGCTGTGTCCCGAGCACCACCCAGCACAAGGCAGGCACACAGGAGAGCTCAGAATGAACAGGGTGGATGAGGGATGGCACGGAGGCCCCTGCCCCCCACCCCCAGCCCTGGCCGCCCACCCCTCCCAGACTCACTGCTCCCGCAGGTGCCAGATCTCAGTCTCCCGAGAGTCCCGAGCATCCTGGCCGTCCAGCCCTCGGAGGCGGCCCAGCTCCTCCTTCAGTGAGCGGATGATGCCCTGCAGGACCACAGGGTCTGGCTTGCCCTGGTACGGAAGGGGCAGCGGGTAGTGAATCCTGAAGAGGGGGATTAGAACCAGGGCATCTCAGAGGCTGAGCAGCTGCCTGAGGGTGAAACCAGGTTCTGAGAGCCAGAGTCAAAACACAACCCACGCCCCATGCCCTGCCCTGCCCTGCCCCAGGCCCCTTGTACCAGCCACCCCTAGGGGCCTCTTCCACGCACTTCTGAGACCACAGGGACTAGGCCCTGGAGCAGTCTCAGGCAATTTTGTGTTGCACACTGCTGGCAGAGAGGACATGTGACCAGCCGAGCACAGTCCTAATTCAGACTCCACAGTGAGAGGTTCCGGTTGCCTGAGCTGGTCACCCCTTGGCTGAGGAAAAGGATTGCAGGTTGGTTAACTGCCCCGCTGTCTACAATTCACAGAGGACTGGCCCCTTCCCACTAGAACATCCAGCAGCCATTACCAAGAGGGGCAGACGCTGCCCTCAGCTACTCCAGAATCATTCCCAGTTCCCTTCTCCCTGTCAGAACAGCTACAAAGCCATACACTCACTTTCCCAGCAATCCTCTACAAATGGCCAAATATTATGAGAAATCTGTTAGGAGTCTTTTGGCCATATTTTTGTTTTCCTGATAAACCAGCAAATTCAATTAGCAAACTCAGCGCTGTCCCTTTTCTACCTGCTTTAATACAGACGTAATGCCTGGAGATACAGCAGCTATTTTGTGACTGTAAGAGATAAATATGAAGTCAAAATGCCAATATCTTAAGTATGACAAAGGAAAAAATAAAACAAAAACAGCCTGAGTTCCTAATGGAACTGTTGATTGGCAGTCATCTAGACATTTTGTTATGTGATAAACTGTTGCTTGTTGAAAGCACTGGCAATGGAGCCAAGCACAATGGTGTATGCCTGTAATCCCAGTGATGTGGGAGGCTGAGGCAGGAGGATGGCAAGTTTGAAGCCAGCCTCAGCAACTTAGAGAGATCTTGACTCAAAATTAAATTAGAAGGGCTACAGAAGTAGGCAGTGGTATAGCAACCCTGGATTCAATCCTCAGTATCTTGAAATAAATAAACAAACACTAGTAATGGTTATTCGGCTACTTGTAGCCAAACACAATAATAAATAATGTAAACCCCACACCCAAGACTCCAAAGGCAAAGCATAAATAACACCCCCGCATGATCCAGGCTCCAAGGGGTTCTTCCCCCAGCCCTGCCCACCAGCCCGGGCCTGGAGCCGGCCCCTTGTGCCCACCTGTCAAACTCCACAGAATAGATAAGGATCAGGTAGCGCTTGGAGTTGAGCTGGTTCGATCTAGGGGCCAAAGTGCTCGGGCGACCCCCCAGCTTGCGGTTCCGCAGGGACTCCAGGTCTGTGTAGGTCAGAAGGTCTAGGGTGACCGATTCACTGCTCTATTGGAGAGGAAGGAAGAAGCTGCCCCAGGGCTGGCAGGGCCACCCCAGAGCACACACCCACACTCCCAGGACCACCTCGCCCCGGGCAGCTGGACTACCCTGCGCTGAGGCTGCGGGACAGGATCTGGGCATGCGCACAGGACAGGACTGGCGAAAGAAGCTACAAAGAACCTTCATGCTCGGGGGTGGCTTAGGTCTGTGGCTCTCTACATGTTGTCTGCAGGACCTGGGGGCCCTCTCGGGAGCCCATGAGGCCAAAACTATTTTCATAATGATGCAAAGACTTGGTGTGCTTTCTATTTCTTCTGGGTTGATATTCACGCTAATGATGCAAAGGCAAGGGTGGCTTTGGGAAACTGCTGCCGCCTTGGCGAAATCAAACCAGCTGCACCAGTGGTCCCCAGCTTCTCCATGCCAGGCAGCCTCATCGGGCTCGGATGAGGAAGAAGAAATCAGCAAGCAAACCAACAAATTCAACACAAGAGGTGAAACAGAAACGTTCATGTGGAAGCAGTGAAACTGCTCCATTTGTTGACCCAAGACCTCCAAGTGCCCGTCTCTTCACTCTTCTGTACAAGAAATCGGGCAGGAGCCACCAGGTGCCCCTGCTGCATATCCAAGCCCTGACAGTGGCCTGCGGAAAGCCCTTGTGCAACCACGTTTCAAACCAAATAAGCCACTTTTTCATGGAACAGTATTTTTACTTGAAAGAACTGACAGACAAAACTATGGTTCCTTCAGAGCTGGGCACTTGGCAGGCATTTTTTCCAAAATGAACACAGTGAGCCTGTCTGCAAGGAAAACAGTATCCGAGTTGGTTGCCAATGATAAACTTCAAGCTTTGCACTTGGAATTCGAATTAGAATTTTGGAAAATTTGCCCTTGCACTATGCTTGAGGGCTTTTCCCTGTTTCAAGACTCAGCCTGTTGAGATCAGTGGGGATGTTACTAAATGTCACTCCTGGCTTTCAATCATAAAATGGGTCAACATTTGAAAGGTCTGTGTAACTCAATGAAGCAATATTTTCCAAATGACCAATGTGTGATATTACAAACTCACTTAAAAAGCCATGCAGAGTACAAGATGCAGCCTCGGGTTTGCTGGGGGAAGAGGGCCTTAGGTTTGGGTTTTCTTTATTCTGCAGTGCTGGAAACCAAACCAGGGCCTTGCAAATGCTGCTTGAGCACTCTGCTCCTGAGCTCCAGCCCCAGCCTCAATTAACAGGTCTGAATCTTTTTAAAGCAACAATATAAGTTCGCTGATGAGATTTCAGATTCCACACTGCAACTAACCTTCAAGAAACTACACTTGTCCAGTTTTAGTGTTAACAAAGATGAATAATCACAACTATTTGAAAAAGCTATTAAAATACTACCTTTTCTAACTATGTACCTGTGTAAGGCAGGATTTTTCTATATATTCTTCAACCAAAACATAGCACAAAAGACTAAATACAGGAGCATGTGAGAATCCAGAATTTTCTATCATGAAGCCAGACATTAAACAGATTTGCAAAAATGTAATTTTTCTTTTAGAAAATGTATTTTTCATTAAAATGATATTTAGGTTAACATAAAGGTTTGCTATTGCTATTTCTAAATGAACTCATAAACTCCTTTAAATTTATTTTAATTCCTAATATGGTAAATAAATATTGATAGATAGAATCTATATAAACAAAAGCTCTTTGGTGTCCTCCACAGTTTTTAAGAGTATAAAGGAGTCATAAGACCAAACAGTTTGAGAACCACTGGGTTATATACATCATGATGCATGCGTACAATATTAAGCAACCACTAACAAGGATGATAAATTCAAAAGTTGATAATAATAAAAAACTGTATCTGTATACCTGTTATGATTAGCCAACATTTTACATATAGTAACTCATCATCTTCACAATATTATGAAATGGGAACTACTATTATTCCCAGTTTATAGGCATTGAGGGGGAAGTGACTGGCTGAGTTCCCATCTAGGAAGTGGCAATAGTAAGTCTGAATTCAAAGAAAAATGTTACAGTCTGGACGGAGAATAAAAAGGGAATTATAAAGGACTCTGAGTCATGCTCAAATATCTTCACAGTTTTATGAGGGCATATTTTATCTGTAATCAGAGAAACAA